ATGAAGCGGTCGTGTGCAATAGTTCGGTATCAGTGTCTTTACGCTGGAGGCTTGCATCCATAATCACTCGAGAGCGTCTCCTCTTCACCACATACTTTCTTCTGAGCTGGTGAAGGAAAGGATTTTGTGTTGGTATGGTGGCATGCACACAGCCAACCACATGTCATTATCATATCTGCTCTGGCAGCGCATGCCATATAGAACCAGATTGCCCTTGTCGCGCACATATAGTTCATGCGGAACAGACTATGATTGCACACCAACGGGCAATGAGCCCTAACACTTAAAGGGCGATGCCCCGCATGTTGGTCATCCATCCTCGTCAACACATGGTTACTGAGGCGATTTCGGGCGCCCATGCTGCTGCTGTACGTGCCACCTCAACTAGAGGGTGATTGTCCCCAACGCTACGCGGTGGCACACCTGAAGGGAACGTGCTGAGACCCTGCGAGGTCAACCCAACCAGGGTAACGGTAGAATTGGTCATGTTGAGGGGCACCCTGGCGTTAGTGCCCCTTCCTGGTAATACTCATTTTCAGAAGTTCCGCCCCTGAAGGTTGTGCATGTTTGTTGGGGGACGTTCGTGTGCGCATTCAGGTGTTCGGATGAAAGAATTAAAGAACGCAGCCAGCCAGGATGAGAGTCACGGTGCAGAGAGATGGAGAGAGAGGTATAGAGAGAGAGGAATAACGAGAGATTGAAAGAGACAAGGAGAAAGAGAGAGAGAGAGAGAGAGAAAAAGGCAGAAAGAAATAAAGAAAGAAAGAAAGAAGGAGGGAGAGAGCGACGGATGTGGACGAGGGCGACGGACAGATCCTTGTTGATGCGTCTCAGTGAGAGCCAGTGTGTGGTACGGCTTGAGTCCATATACGTACACCCACATGCAGATCGGATCGCATCCGCAAATTATTTACGTTTCCCGTGTCCCCACCAACCCATCCAGAATCTATGCCCAGGCGAAGTTTCTTCACCAGAGAAGCAGTGATAGCCGTCAAGCCGACGCCCAGGATCAGCTTGCAGAGGCCAAGGAGTCTTTCGATGCGGCGTCCAGGAGTTTCTTGGAAGTGCGTTCGGGAACTAGTGGGGCCTTCTCAGTGCCATTGTTGATGCCTTTGGGGTTCTCTTGAGGCCCTGTCAGGGCTCTCATTGGGCCATCTTTGCGGCAACCTTGAGGGACATTTAGTGAGACGGGGGTTCTGAATTAGCGTCGCTCTGTCGGGGTCAGTCTCGGCAGTCTTGGCGCCGTTATGGCACAGTCTTGGGGCCTTCTTCGGCGATCTTGGAGCCATCATGAGCCTGTAGAGCGCGAGTCACCGCGGCCCCCCATTCGGGAACTAGTCCGCAAATCCCGCGACCACGGAGGAGCAGGAGGAGGAGGAGGAGGAGGAGCAGGAGGAGGAGGAGCAGGAGGATGAGGAGGGGTACAAGCACGAAGTGACATTTTGGAGTATGTTGGGGTCCCTTGGGGCCCTTTCGGGGCGAAGCTGCCTTGGGGGCTTCTCTGGGCCAACTTTATGGGCGCTCTGTGGCCGTCTTGGCGGTCTCTTGGGCCGCATTGGGGCCTTCTTGGGGCCGTCGGTTCTTGGGCCATCTCTGGGGCAGTGTTGGCAGTCTTGAGCTCTTCTTGAGGCTCCGTGGAGCCATTTGGGAGCAATATTTGCGCATCCGATTCTATCGGAAGCGATACGGCGATAAGGCAAACACCATTGAATGCCTTCAAACGTTTGCAGGAGGTTGGGCATCTCGGGAGCCTCCTGGTGGGCATCGCGGGGCCCTCTTGGGCCTCCTTGGGGGGCTCGTGGGCCGACTTGACGACCCTCTTTGTGCAACATCGGGCCGTTCTGCCCCGTCGTGGTACAATAGCGTGCCGTCCCGGGCCAATCTTGAGCCAAGCTACCTTGAGGCCATAGCGAGGCCATCGTGGGGGCTTTCTTGAGGCATTATGGGGCAGTCTCGGGCACCGCGAGGAGTCCCTCAAACCTGACCGACGGAAGGGGAAGGGGGGCCAAGCGCCGCCTTCTTAAACCAATCGCCAATTTATCAGCTTGGCAAGCACTTAAAACAGTTCTGCAATCAGCTAGCAAGCACCTAAAACAAGTACCCTCACACGGTCTTACCGCGCTCAGGGCTCAAAGGGAGCCCGCCGCATCGAGCACGTTTCCCCCCCCTCCCCCCCCCTCGGAAACCTTGCCTGCTGATCTCGCGGCCACGGAGGGGGGTGAAAGAGCAGCAGGAGGAGGCGGAGACGAACGAGCAGGAAGTGACCTGTTGGCGTATATTGGGATCTCGTGGGGCTTTCTCGGGGCGTCTTGGTGGCCACGCCGGTGCGAATTGGATGCCGTTTAGGTGCCAATTGTGGGAGCGCTTTGGGCATTTGGGGGGCACGTTGGGCTGTCTTGTGGCGCTCGTGGCCCATCTGCCGCCTTCGGAGGCTGTCTTGGGGGCCTCTCTGGGCCGTCTTTGGGCGATCTGGGGCCGTCTTGGCGGTCTCTTGGGGCCGTTTCTGGGCCTTCTTGGGGGGGGCTCTTGGGCGTTGTTGGGGCAGTCTTGGGTCTCTCTTGGCTTCCTGGGGCTCTCTCGGGTCCTTTATGGTGCCATCTTGCGACCTCAGGGGCCGAACGGAAGCGAACGGGCGAGACGGCAGGCCTCACCGATTCCCTTGACGTCGTTGAAGGATGTGGGCGCTCGATGGCCTCCAGGGGAGGCCGCGGGGCCACTTGGAACAAGATTGAGACTGCTTTGGGGCTTTTGGGAAGCATGCTGGCGGCTGTCTTGGGATAGAGTGCCAAATCGGGGGCAATGTTTGGGGCACCTTGGGCCCTCTCATAAACATCTTGGACCATCTTGATGATTTATGGTGCCATCTTGTGGCATTCGTGGGCCGTCTTCGGGGCATCTTGGAGGCGGAACGGGCCCTCCAAGACTATTTTCCGAACGGTCTGGTGGAAACTCGCGAGCTACCACCCTCCCCCTCAAGATCAGCTGACTAATCAGATGGCACTTCAATCAACTACCCTCCGACGGTCTTCACGGCTCCGGGCCCGCAAGGAGGCCCGCCGTATTGGTGGTTTGTGTGTCCCCATCCGGCCCATCCAGAAACGAGGCCCAGACGAGTGTTTGTCATCCGGGGAGCCGTGGGTATCCGTCAGACTGAAATTCTCGAGCAGCATGGACAATCCTAGGAGTCAACCATACAAGCTTTCGAGGACCTCTCGATGTGGGAGCATGTTGGCAGCGTTTGTTGTTCGCAATAGTGGGGCCGGACCTGTGCTATGTTCGATGCATGTAGAGCTCTCTTGAGCCCCTGTTGAGGCTATCTTCAGGCCCTCTCGAGACAATGTTGGAGGGCATCGGGCACGTCAGGGTCATATATGTTCTTGAACGGTTTGAGCTTGGGTTTTTTGAATTCGGTGATGTCAGTACCTGCTAAACGATCCAAGGAAGTTTAAACATCGGGATGCCTTCTCTCACTTGTCCCCGCTCTCCCCTCCATAGCCTGTCTTCGGCTTCAGGACGGGCGGCACGCCGCATGCTCTCCTCAGGCGTGCCTGCGGCGCTGCCGGCCTTGTGCGTGGCGCTGATCGCTGGTCTTGGCTGGCGGACGAGCTCACCCCAGCCCGTGCCCGAGCCGCCGAGGGAGACCCCCGTGTGGCTCGACGGGGTCGCCGACGCCTGCATCGATGCCTCGTCGGCGGCGCTGCGTGCCGAGGCCGCGGCTCGGGCGATCTCGGAGCTGGCGGCCGCGTCGCCACCGCCTCCGCCGCCGCCGGGGGGCGACGGCTGCGTCTGCCCCGAGGTGGGCGACGGACCGAGCGCCGCGGCGCTGGGCCTGCACTTGGTGGTGAGCCTCCTCTCGCCTGTGTGGATCTCGCTGGCGGACAGGTGCTTCAACTGCCGCCAGCGCTGCCAGGGACCAGGACACCATGTCGCGCCGACGCGGGCGCCTGGCGGCCCTGCCCCCCTTGCCCGCGGGGGAGGAGTGGTGCGCTGATCTCCCCAGCGGCGCTCGTGCACGGGTGAGCTATGACGGCGACATCATGGACCATGAGCGCGTCGTGGTGTGGCCCTCGCGGCGTGTCGAGGATGGCGAGCTGGTGGACCCTCACGTCTACTGGGTCCTCTCGCCGGACGGCGACCTGTGGGAGGAGCTGCTCTCGGGGGCCTCACCTGCTGATGGCCCTTCGGGTGGCGAGCGCCTCGCCAACGGGGGTGCCCCGCCTGCTGACGGCCGGAAGCTCTACAGCTTCCGCGAGCGGCCATCCCTTGCCAGGCTCGTGGAGCTGGCCGACGAGTGCCGTGTGGCGATGGAGGCCCGCGGGCAGGTCGCCGCCGACGGGCCCGCCCAGGTGGAGCTCGCCTCAGGCAGACTGCTGGAAGGCGGGGACGTCTTCCCATGGGCCGGGCCGGCACGTCCGTCGCACCGCCTCCGCGGGAAGCAGGCGTTGCCAGTCACCGACGGGGGAGTGGGAGGCGCCCTGGCTGACGCCGCCGCAGGCTCACCCACGCCCCCTCCTGAGGGACACGTCTGGGCGCTGGCCGAGCCCGTGCCCGACCTGGACATCGGCACGATCGTCGACCCGACGAGCGAGACGCTCATCGGCGCTGGGGTGGACGCCCTCTGGCTTCGACGGGGCAGGGCGCTGCGTCTGGAGCTGATGCCGCGAGGCGACGTGGCGAGCTGGAAGTCGCGCCGTGTCGCCGAGCTGAGTCGCCTGCTGGAGGTGGCAGCTCCTGTGGCGGCGCCCGGCTCCCCCCCGGCTGACGGTGCCCTGGAGGCTGCCGCCGCCAGTGGCGCGGAGGGTCCTCCTGGCCCAGATGGTGCTCCGTCGGCTGTCGCTCTGGCTGACGCCGCTAGCGATGACACCCGCACTCTCTGGGTCGAGTGGGACGACCAGGGTGAGCGATACAAGGAGTTCAGGAAGGCCGTGAACGAGTCGTTGAGCTACGACTGGGGCCACCAGCGCTTGGAGGGGGGCCTGACGTGATTGCACACCTGCAAGATGATGTACCGCACGGCCGGCACCCCTCGGGCTTGGCTCGAGAAGTTCTTGCGCGACAAGAACATCGCCCCCGCCGACCGCGTCGCACATCGGCCGCTGGTGGAGGCGCTCGAAGAGGCCGGGTGCTTCGACCAGGTCAACCTGGGGGGGTTGGCCTGCCTGGAGGTGATCGTGCGCCGGCTCAACGCGATCGTGGACGCCTACAAGCGCGCGGGTGCCCCCTCGTTCGCCAACGCCAGGTACTTGGCTCCTCTGGGCGAGGCGGACGAGCTGATGGCGCCCTCGCTGAGGAACCACGTCTCCCGCCGCGCCAAGGAGGACTGGGAGGTCGAGCAGTCTATGAAGAAGGCCGAGGCGGTGGATGCTCGTGTGGCCGCCCACCATGGCGCAGAGGGTGCCACCACAGGGGCCGGCGGCGGGGACAAGGGGCGAGGTCGCGGCGGCCGTGGCCGCGGAGGTCGCACCCCAGGGCTCCCCCCGCCGGTCCAGTCATGACCGAGAAGGCACAGCCGGGGGAGTGGGCCCCCCCTGGCTGGCCCCACAACTTGGCCCGCGCCTCGCCGCTGCCGCCGTCCGATTTTGAGAGAGACCTCTTTCCCGTGCCGATGATGATGGCGCCGGGCGACTCCGCTCGGGGACGCAGGTCTCAGCGCAGGACCCACGCTCGGCAGCATGAGGTGGAATTGGTGAATCGCGCCCTCCGCAGCTTGAACTGGCTGGCGGGCTTCAAGGGCGCGGTCGCTTCACCGAGTCCAGGCGCGTCAACCCTGGACAAGCATGCAGCCCTTCAGCAGCACCTGCTCCGTGAGGCTCATCGGCGTCAGGCCGCAGCTCCGGAGGTGATGCCGAAGGCGGAGGCAGCCCTGCGGGAGCTGCTCCGGGGGCAGTCCGTATACGAGACGGACTCTGCCCCAAGGAACCTCGTCTCCTACCAGCCCGGCAAGGTCTCGCTGCCTGATAGCGTGCTGGACTGCCGCTTCATCGAGGACATCGTGAGCCCTGGGTGCCGCTCTTTTCTGGAGGAGAATCACAAGCGAATGAGGTTGGAGCCGGAGACAGTGGACTTCGACAGCATGCCGCGGTTGTACATGGACCCAGTGCTGAAGAGGAATTCTAAATCTTATCGCACCTTCTTGCGAGATCTCGCTGGAAGGGGACTTCTAGGAGTGACCACCAGACCCGCCGAGTCAGTGGGCCTGTTTTTCGTGGCCAAGTCGAACGGGGCTCAACGTATGATAATTGACGCCAGGCGAAGCAACGGCCATTTCAGAACGCCGCCAGGCGTGCAGCTCCTCAGTAGCGAGGGGTTCGGCCGGATCGAGGTAGAGTTGCCGCCGGGCGTCTTGCCCTCGTCAGTTGAAGGGCAAAGGCTTCTGGACGCTTTCACTGTCTACGTGGCCACCACCGACGTGAAGGACTGCTTCTACCGCATGCGCGTCCGCGAGGACCTCGGCCGCTACTTCTGCCTTCCCGCCGTCCCGAAGCACGTGTTCGACGGGATTCAGGTGACCGGCGCCCCTGGGGATGCCCCGCCGGACGCCCCTGTGCGGCCCTACCTTGCCGTGCTTCCGATGGGGTTCACGTGGTCGCTGTACCTGGCCCAGGCCGCGAATGAGGACAGGGTGTGTCGAAGCCCCAGCCTGTGCAGGGCAATGCCAGCCGGCAGACAACAGCCCTTGATTCAGGACCAGGCCGAGGCGTTCGTGTTGCGGGCCGCCTCACGCGGGGTCGGAGGGGCTTACGTGCGCGTGGGCAACCTTGGCGCCGTCTCGGACGATGCCGACCTCAGTGACAGGATGGTCTCCGAGTGGAGCGATCTGTTCGAGCCGGTCGGCCTGGCGCTCCACAAGTCGGAGTCCCACGGCGGCGCAGGTGAGGCTCTCGGCACGGAGCTCGACGGCACCCGCCTCCGCTCGGGGATCACCTCGAGCCGGTTTTGGAAGCTCGAGCGGGGCCTGACTGGCCTCCTCGCTCGGGGCCGCTGCAGCGGCCAGGCGCTTGAAAAAGTGATCGGACATTGCACATTCTGCGGTCTGGCTGCCCGTGAGTCCCTTTCTATCTTCCACACCGTCTATAAGTTCATTTCGGTCCAGTATTTTGACGTGGGCTCGATGTGGCCCGAAGTGGTCGAGGAGCTCGTAGCCTTTAGAGGGGTCCTTTTGTTTCTGGGCCGCGACTGGTGGCTGCCGTGGAACCCCTGCGTTTTGGAAACCGACGCCAGCCTAGCGGGCTGGGCGATGGCCCAAAGCTTCTGGGAGCCGTCCCAGGTCGCCAGCGTCGGTCGTGTCAGTGAGCGTTCCCGTTTCAAGCGCGTCGGGGCTCACTCCGCTCGGGAATCCGCGCTCACCTCGGCCCACCTCTTCCGCGACGAGTCAGGCGAGTGGAGAAGCCAACTTTTGGGAGACGAGCCTCAGCTAGACGACTGGGAGGTCGTGGCGGATTTTCCCGAAGTCCCCTGGCAGCTCCTCCGAGGCTCGGCCTGGAAAACCGTCCGGAAGGGGGTCTGGGGCCTTAGCGAGGGCATTCTGGTGCTGGAGGCCCGGGCCTTAGTGAAGGCCATCCGTAGGCTCGCCAGGACCAGATATGGGCCCTGCATCAGACAGCTTTTCTTGTGTGACAACATGGCCGTCGTTCTTGCTTTCGCTCGCTCGCGAAGTCAGGACTTCAAGCTCCTAGTTCAGATTCGGCGCTTCAACGCCTATGCCCTTGCCCTTGGCATCGCCCCGTATTTTAGGTGGATCCCCTCGGAGTTTAACCAGAGCGATGCCGGGAGCCGGGATCACTCAGAAGTTTCGTCCAAGTTGCTAACCGATGTCCTGGATCAGCAGGTTAGGATCTCTGCTCCTCCTTCTCTCTCTCCCCTCCGTAGTCATTTCGGCTCTTACTGTAGTCAGGCCCTCCTCGCTTCCGTCCCCGAAGAGTCTGTCCCGACGGATGCGCGCGCGGGCTCTGCGGCCGCCGCGGGCGCCACCGCGGGCGAGTCCCCCGGCGTCGTCGCGGGTTCTGCCGCGGCCTGGCGTCGGCCCGCCGCCCTGCCGGAGAGATCCGCCGACAGTGAAGGCGAGGTCGAGAGTGCTGGAGAGGCCCCAGGTGGCGACGGACACGTGCGGTCCCAGAGCCCGCCCCGTCGCGAGGACTGGGGGCCCTGGCGCCCGCTCGGTCAAGGCACGCATGGAGAGCCGCCCTCGCCAGACGCCGGCGCCGCCCTCTGTGACGCTCGAGGACCTCGCTCCCGCGGACGACGCCGGCGACGACGTGGCGGGCGCCGGGGAGGGAGACGAGTCGAGTGGGTCCGACAGCTTAGTGAACCACGCGACTGCGGCCGCAAGGAGGTCTCGGCGCCTCCAGGACTCCCGACGCCGGCGCCGTGCGGCACTTTACACGGACATGATTATGCAGACCGCAGCTGGCGGGCCCACCTTGCTGGAGCGACTGGCAGTGACTCGCCGGGCGAGGAAACGCTATGCCAAATATCTCGATCGTTTCTACTTGCATGCCGACCTGACCGACGACGAGCTCGTGAGGAGCTCGGACGAGACCGTGGATCGTTGGGTGTGCGACTACTTCACCGCGATGTACCTGTCCGGGGAGCAGAGCAGCCTGGGAGACCAGACTGGTGCCGCCCTCATCGACCGACACCCGGCCTTTGGCCGACGGGGTGGAAGAGCCTTGCCGCGGACGTGGCGAGCGCTCAAGGCGTGGAGGCGGCTGACGCCCTCGCGCACCCGCCGAGCGCTGCCGCTCGCCGTGTGGTCGGCAGTGATGTGGCGTCTGGTGGACAAGGGCCTCCCATTCATGGCCCTGTTCCTCGCCGTAGGCCTCTCTGCCTACTCGAGGCCCTCTTCTCTGCTGGCAGCTCGGAAGTGCGACCTGGTCCCGCCTTCGCGTGCTACAGTGGACAGCTGGAGCCTCCTAACGCACCCAGAGGAGGAGGGCCGACCGAGCAAGACGAATCGCTACGACGAGGGCTGCCTCCTGGACTCGAGCTACCTTCGGGGGCTGGGTCCGCTGTTCGCCGAGCTCCGAGGGCACGGAGACAGGACCAAGCTGTGGCCCTTCACGTACCTGGAGCTCTCGCAAGCGGTGCAGCTAGCGGCGGCCGAGATCGGGGCTGGCAAACTGACACTGTACCAACTCCGCCACTCAGGCGCGAGCATCGACGCCAGCAGACGCACTCGCAGCCTAGAGGAGATTCGGAGGCGCGGCTGCTGGGCTCAGGCGAAAAGCATGCACCGTTACGAGCACAGCAGCCGCCTGAGCGCCGAGTACGAGCGCTTTCCCGCGGACCAGAGGCGCCTGTACGAGGCGTGCGAGGTCCACCTGATGAGGATCATGCTCGGCCATGCTCACCCAGTCCGGTTCAGCCATCGAATGCTGACCTGGCAGTCGCGCGTGCCAAGCTGAGGCGGAGTTTCCGTGGCTGCCGCGAGAGACATCTCGCTGCGCAGCGTTTCGGCCTCAGAGGCCGGTATGTCGCCGATTTTTTCGCGGGAGGCCGTTGCATCTCGCGAGCAGGTGAAAAGCTAGGCTTTAGGACACGCAGCTGGGACGTGGCCCACGACCCAGTTCGGCAGAATCTTGTCGATCCTAGGGTTCTCAGGGCGATCCGACGCGACGCCCGCCGGGGCCTTATCCTGGCAGCAGCGTTGGCCCCCTCGTGCCAAACCTTCTCAATCGCGCGAGATCGGACGGCAAAGATCCGATCCAAGCACATGCCTTGGGGTTTGCCCAGCCAGTCGCTCAGTGCACCAGACCGAGAGAAAATCAAGGTGGGCAATCGGATCGCCCACGCCGCCATAGGCCTGTTCGCTCTTTTCCATCAGCTCAAGATCCCAGCTGTTCTTGAGCACCCGCTCACCTCTCGTCTGTGGCATACCGCAGAAATCCAAGCCTTCGCAAAGCTGCCGCATGTCAGCTTAGTCGAACTAGACCAGTGCCAATTCAAAGCCCAATGTAAGAAGCCAACTCGCCTCATGTTCTGTCACGTGACAGTTGACGATCTCAAGAATCTTTGCCGAAAATGTAATGGTCAGAGGGGACAGTGCTCGCGGTCAGGCCTGCCTCATTTCCAACTCGAGGGCAGCGCCCGCGCCCGTCCTGCAGCTGCCTACCCGCCCGAGCTCGCACACTGTATAGTTCGGGCATTTACTGCCTCTTGCGTTGCCACGTTCGAATATAATTTAACATCCCTCCCTGCCCAGCCCTAGTGAACTCCCGTATTCGGGAAATTTGGGGAGGAGTGAGAGCGTGCATCGACTCTGACCTCTGGCCTGGACGTCTCGAGGCTTTCGTCAGATCTGTGTCCCTGCAATGTGAAAAAAGAGTTGCTCTATATGTTCTTGAACGGTTTGAGCTTGGGTTTTTTTGAATTCGGTGATGTCAGTACTTGCTAAACGATCCAAGGAAGTTTAAACATCGGGATGCCTTCTCTCACTTGTCCCCGCTCTCCCCTCCATAGCCTGTCTTCGGCTCCCACCCTCCCACCCTGGGAGGAGTGAGAGCGTGCATCGACTCTGACCTCTGGCCTGGACGTCTCGAGGCTTTCGTCAGATCTGTGTCCCTGCAATGTGAAAAAAGAGTTGCTCGACGCATAGCATCTTTTGGCCTTCTTGGGACGCAATTGGGATGCCCTTTGGCGTTGTTCGGGCAGTCTCGGTGCCCTTTTGGACTCCTCTCGGGGCTCTGGAGCCATCTTGAAGCACCAGCAGCCCATCGGAAGCGAACATGCAAGAAACCCTATACCATTGCACATGTTCAGGTGCTTGAGTGACGGCGGCCTTTCGGCGGCGTCCCTGGGAGGCTCCGAGGCCACTTGAAGCTGTTTTGGGACCTCTTAGAGGCATGCTTGAATTCGTGTTGAGCGAGCATGCGCAATCATGTCCAATATTGGAGGCCATCTTCGGGCATACTGGGTCTTCCTGGAGCCAGTTTGGCCAACATGCTTCCCCAGGTTGCCCCCGAAAGGCAAACATCTGTCAATCACCAATGGGGTTCCGATGATGCTGGTTTTCGTTCTTACAATACAAAGTGGGACACGTCAGGGCCCTCCCATCGGGGCCAGACACATCGCCTTTTGTGGCGCTCTTGGGGCTGTCTTGGCGCCTTGATGGCACCCTCTTGGGGCTTTCTTTAATTATGTTGGGACCATCGTGAGGCCTCGGAGGCCCATGGGGAAACGAAAAGGCAAGAATTCAAACATCGCTTACCAGATCAAGGTTTTCGAATGGTTTTGCCATCTCGGGAGCGTTTTGGGGGAAGCTCCGTAACCACATGCGAGGCCATATGGAGCCACATTTGGCCATGTTCGACTTGGACTAAGTGGATGTATTCTTCTTCGTCTATGTTTGGCTCTCTTGGAGCCGTCTAGGGCCATTTTGGACGCTCCAACGCGTCGTGGAACCCTGGACCCGACCCCGGAAGAGATGGCAGGGAGAAGGATACAGCCCTCACCGCAGGGGAAGAAGGGTGTTGGAAAACTGATTTTGCTAAACCGCCCACTCCTACAAGTCTTGTGGTATTCATGTTGGCGCCGCTGCGAGCAAGTCTCGTATCGGGGCGTGCTCTTTTGTACGCATCTAAGGACGGTTCGTGATGCCAGGAATCCCCCGAGGAGCCACAGCTTGGACACAACACCCGGTGCGGATGTAACGTCCGCTTATGCGTGCGCACCCCTCTTGCATAAAGAATTTGAGGAGCGTAGTCGGCAGGTTCAGCCGATGCCTTTCTCACCACGGTCAACAAATATTGAGAGGCTTGCTCGACCACGTCTTGTGACCTTGGCGGAGGGTCCGGCGGCGCTGGAAGATGATATTACAAAGAGTCCCAGCAGACAGTTCTCGCGGAAGCTCACTGCGGCAACGCGGCCTCGTGACGATTCAAGGAAGTTGGCGCCAGAGAAGGATTTTCATTTGAAGTTGCTTTCGGTGCAATCAGCATGTGCTCGTCCTCACAATCCCTTTCCCTTCGTGGCGCCTCTCATCGTATGTTGTTCAGGTGTGTTGGAATTGTAGCATGTTCGCCTAAACTTGGAGATTTGTAACACGGGAGCCTTTTTTGAATGGCGTTTATTCTCCATGGATTATGTTTGGGCTCGTTATGCTAGTGCGATGCCTCCGCCTCCGCTCACTTCCCCCTCCTCCCTTTTCCGTACCACCCTCTAGGCCCACACATACTCAGTTAGTTTCATCTAGATTCACTCACACTGCGATTCGTTCACACTTAAACCCTTTCGCTTCTAGACCCACTCATACTCAGACCCTTGATTCACTCACCGTCAGGCTCACAGCTCAGCCATACCCAGACTCGCACTCACGCACTCAAACTCACTCACACTCAGGTCCAGCCATATCCAGGTTACTCTCGCACGCGCAATCAGATCAACCGGATCTCAGAACCACTCATACCCAGTATCGGGCCTTCTCAGAACACCCACGTTCACATCTTCTCATCTTCAGTTCGATCATATTCCGAATGCGCACAGATACCCGCCATACCCTGATCAGCCACTCTCAGAGCTGATCAGGCTCACCACGATGCAGCAGGGGTGACTTCTTGGGATTCCCGAGGGGGCGAGCAGTAGAGGGGGGGCACGGACCCGCCCGCTCGCGGCCAGATTGTGGGGGATGTCTCGAGCGGCTCGCTCGTTTGGCGTCCCCGATTTCTGGAGGAGGAGGAGGAGGAGGAGGACACCTGAAGGAGGAGGAGGAGGAGGAGAAGACCTGGAGAAGGCACCCGTAGAAACCTGGACACCCCAAGGAGGAGCCGCCAGTGAAGGGTGCACTTGGCCGCTCGCGGCCAGGTTGCTGGGATATCTCGGGCGAGGCGCTCGTGCTGCTCCTCCGGCTCATGTCTCTGGGGAGCCTCATGGCTACAGCGACACCGCAGGCATAGCGGCTTGTCGCACCCAGGGTGAGCAGACTTGGAGGGGCACACGCGTCCGCTCGCGGCCATGTTGTGGGGATGTCTGCAGCGAGGCGCCAGTTTGGCCGATCCGACTCCCTTATCTTGAGAGCTGCATGATCACCGCCAGCGAGGGGGGCACGTGACCGCTCGTTGCCAGATTGCGGGGATGTCATGGGCGGGGCGCTCGCTCGCTTTGCCCCGCAAGCTCATTCGTCGAAGACGCCCGCGGCGAGTCACCGCCGCCCCCTGCCTTTTTCGGAAGGACCTGTGTGGCCGAAAGTTGGGCTCGAGCTATCGGACCATGTGTTCTCCCAACTGTCGCCGACGCCGTTCGAGGAACACGTGAGGAAGAGGATAATGGGGATAATAATGAACAGGGAGTAAAGGGAGGAGGAGGAGGAGGAGGAGGAGGAGGAGGAGGAAGAGGAGGAGGAGGAGGAGGAGGAGGAGGAGAGCGTCTCTTGGAAGCCTCCCAGGGCACTCTTGGAGTATCCTGGGAGCCTCTTTTAGGCGTCGTCGGGGCCTCCTTTGGCCTTTTGGGAGCCTTTTGGGGCTTGGTCGGGGCCGCTTTGGCCGTCTTAGGGCGTTCCTGGCCCGTCCGACGCCGTCGGAAGCCGTCTTGGATACCTCGCTGAACCGACTTGAGGCCCTCTTGGGGCGCTTCAGGGCCTTCTTGGAGGCCATCTTGGGCTTCTCCGAAGCCTCTTGGGCCGCCTTGGTGCCCTCTTGTGGTTGTCCTGGGGGCCACTTGGGCCGTAGGGGCCATCTTGGAGGCCTCTCGGGCGCTCTGAGGGGGACTGCGGGGGCCTCTTGGGCCGTCTTGGGCCGTCGGAAGGCCGAAGCACAAGAAATGGCAGCATCTTTCAACAACCTCGGTAGCATCAATGAGTTTGGCCTCATCGGGCCCTCCTGGAGGACCTCCAGGAAGCCTTTGAAGCCGTCTTCAAGGCCTCTTAGGGGGACTCTTGGGCCGTAGAGGGCCGTCTCTGAGGCTTCTTGGGCGAACTTGGAGGCATCTTCGACCCTCTAGCGCTGTCTAGGCGGCCATCTTGGACAATATTGGACCATCTTGGGCACTATCTTGTTAAGTGGGAGCATATCATGAGTGCGGCGATGCAGGGAACCAGTGGTGTCGACAGAATGCACCGCTGGATGTTCTCACCATGAGCCGACGGTCTGCACCGCCAGCCCCACGCCCAGCTCGACAGCCAGCGCGCTACTCAGCCCAACGCCCTGCCCCAATTCCGCCCCGATGCCTGTCCAGTCTGACGCTCTGGCGATCCCAACCCGAAAGGGCGCACAAATCTTGCCGCCCCAAAGATATTTGTCTGCAACATTACCACCTTGTCGCTTCCCATCGCATATCGACGTCCACCATCCACCACTCAGCCTTCCGACTCCCAGTCTCCAGCATGTGACTTCGCACTCCCACCTCGACCTGCCGACCTCTAGCCTCCACCAGCTCAACACTCCAATTCAAACGGCTCCCAATTCCCTTCCGA